TGTTTGAGTCCTCCTTGGGGGCTGCTGTGTGGCGCCTTCCAATCTAGGGGGCTCGTCGGCCGGCACTGTATCAGACGATATTCTGCTGTGATCCCATAGGGTTTTACTGGCTGGTTTTTGGATGTAGATCACCAAGCTTTTCTTCCTAGTCTGTCTTAGTCTGGAAACTCTTCTGAAACCTGTCCACCATGGGTGACCCTGCTGGTATTTGAAATACTGGTGGCACGGCTTCCAGCATCACAGCAACACACAAGCCACCACACTGGGACTTCATATAGCTGCAGTCAGCTGACACCTCTCGTTTCTCCCTTGAGCATTATTTCATGTCAGTATTTCAGAATTTTTTACCTACAGCCACACTCTTCGTTGCTGAATACAACATGACATTCTGACATGTTAAAGAGGGCCGTCGCCCCCTGGCTGGGAATTGGGGGTACTTCCCAGTGTGGGCAGTTATAAATAGCCTTCCTAAGTGTGTCCCTTTCCTGTTCGAGTGGAGCTTTGTACATCTGCTGACTAGTCCTTGTAAACCAGAGAGAGTGGGGGGACAAGAAGGACGGACTCAGCCAGCAAGCCCTTCCTCTTTTAATGGAAACTTCCAGTTCAATCCTGACCACTTGTGTTATGGAGGCTTCCAGATCTTTTACCAGTCCGGGTCTAATACTGTGCACCTCTCTCTTCTTTTCAGAGATAGTAGTCCTGATTGTAAAAATGGTTACATTTATTTGGCCTTTCATCCCAATCCATGAGAAAGAATACTACTTGCTTTTTTTTTTTTTTATTCGATCTTGTTACTGTCAGTTACTTTATCGCCCTTTTTTAGCTTTAGACTTGGGGTTTTCATTTGCCAGTAGGAAGGCTGTTTAGAAGAGCAGGTAGAAAATGAAAACCATATTCCCTGTCGTTTATCGTCATTGCTTTTCTCTCTCTCTCTTCTTCCCCCACCGCCCCCCCCCAACCAGTAACGTGCATTTTTTTCTCGGTTCTATCTCATTGCCTATATGATTAGGTCTGTGTGGTTCTTCTTTTTGTCCAGAAAGACTTTCTTCAGGCCAAAAGTCACCTATTGTAAGTTACTTAGTTTAATTAAAAATTCCACTTTAGTTATTTAGTTTAATCTTCCACCAAAAGATGTTTTGCCCTTTTTTACTTGGACAGGGTCGTGATTTTTCCAGCATGAAACGTGCAGGAAGGGAAGGGTTCTTTTGTTCTCAATTTTACAGAAACGATTGACTGTTTTATGTTGTGTGCAACTCTTCCAGGTGGTGGTGACGCTGGGTGACCCAAATGTCACCACTCCATCAAGCTCGGTCGGCTTGACCAACATCACCGTGACCCCCATCACCACTGCAGCTGGGACTCAGTTTACTAACCTCCAGCCGGTGGCTGTCGGTCACCTCACCACCCCAGAACGCCAGTTGCAGCTGGACAACTCCATCCTGACTGTGACCTTTGACACCGTCAGCGGCTCTGCCATGTTGCACAACCGCCAGAATGACATCCAGATCCACCCGCCGCCGGAAGCCTCGAACCCACAGTCCGTGGCCCACTTCATCAACCTGACCACTCTGGTGAACTCCATCACGCCGCTGGGCAACCAGCTCAATGAGCAGCACCCCCTGGCATGGCGGGCGGTACCTCAGTCAGACGTCCTGCAACCGCCGCAGCCGCAGCCCCCGCAGCAGCAGGCAGCCCAGCCCCAAGTGCCGGCAGAGCAGCAGCAGCAGATGTACAGCTATTAAGTCTCCTGCAGAGAACTGGAAAATAGAAAGACAGGGAGCTTCTGGTGGATTTTTGAGATTGGTTTGCTGGATACCAAACAAAGAAAAAAAAAAAATCATACATTGCAATGTAAGTAAAGGTTGACTTTGCTTTTGCAGAATTCTCTCCCAGCCCCGCAACAGTCATCACAGTCTGCAGGTAAGAGTTTTACCTGCTCGGTTCCACACTACGCCTTACTCAAGGTAGCCCCGCCCCAGCCTTCCCTTACAAAACCCAGTTGGTTTCACTGACACGGACTTGGGAAAGTTAAACATAAAAAGAAGCAGCATCATAGGAGGCAAGCGATATGTTAAATAGGAGCATAAATGGTTCATTTGGATTTTTCCTTTACAACTCGGGTATTGTGTGGAAAAAAAAAACAGTATTCAGACCTGGCAACACACAGCAACGAAACCCAACTTTCTCCTCACTTCTGGGTTGTTGTTTTTTTTTTTAAGTGAACAAGCAGACCACAGTTCAAGTAACCTGATTCTCTTCTTTGAAATTTGGTGTGAATTTGTCCTACCTCCATGGACTCAACCATGTGAGAAAGATATGCCGTGATAGCGTATGTCTCTTCGAGCCTTCAAGTTCAACAGGCAAGGGCGTTATGTGATGTCCCTGAGTCAGGCACAAAGGCTTCTTAGTAATAGAATACATAAACCAATTTTTAGTATAGTTTTTTCTTTCTTTCTTTTTTGTTTCAAGCAGGGACAGATTACCCAATAAGTGAGATAGGCACGGGCTTAACTGTGCTTACTTACTAATCTGTAGTGGTGAAACCCATGTGAAATTGTGCACTACAGATTCATTAGTAAACACGTGCATACATTGCTTACTGTAAGCCGGGACATACCATGCCCACTGGTGAATCTGCCCCTAATGTCAAGCATTCATTATGTGCTCAAGGCAACGTTATGGCCAATGTTGACTTTGATTGGATGTGATTTTAACCTGGTAAAGTCATTTGCACTGTAGGACTAGCCTTCCATGTCCCATTTTACACACCTGCCCGAAGGCAAAGAGACACCTCCGTTGTGTGCCACAGGTCAGTCCTCACGCCATCCCTCCTCGTGGCTCCTTCCGAGTTCCCTCGGAATTCTCTGCCATCTAAATCTATTTATTACGGCTGGCGATCAGCCTGAATCCCCTGAGCGGAAGAACAGGGAAGAAATCCTTGTTTCCTCTCTGTTGAAACTTTGATTCCAAAGGTTGATGTCTTTCAAGATCGATTTTCTGTAAAAATGTGGAAGGAGTTTGGCTCTTGACCGTGGAAAGGCATAGGCATTTCTGAAACGCAAAGATACCGCTATTTCCTGCCAGGCAGCACTGAGAACAGAAGAGGTTAGTTCTCTGATAAGCGATTGTGCCGATTAACACCCAGCTCTGCCTGCGGGCAGAACAGGAAGGCACGTGCGCCATTTTCTCAGGTGTTGGCCAAGGCTCCATGATGGTCATAATGGAAGCAGAAAGAGGCATGGGAAAAGCAGTCTTAAGTCTCCTAGTATTTTTTAACTTTGTCCACTGAAGTGACACCTTTGCCTTACTTTGTCCCTGATCCCTCTTTGCCCCCGATTCTGTTATTTGGGAGACCATCTAGAAGAAAGCCCAACAAAGAGTCAGTAGCGGATAAAGGAGGGCCAGAGTAACGCTGACATTGCTAAGGAGGCAAAGGATGGTTTGCTCCGGAAAACGCAACCTTCGCAGCGCTTCATTCCCGGTGGCAAAATGTTGAGGCTAGGGCCAATATTAGTTTTGTGCATTTCAAGCCTTTGTGAACTAAGGAAGGTTAATTATCCAGGCACCACGCGGAAGGAGCCCTCAGAGGTCATATAATTCACAGCCACACTCGCTCACTCTCATATGCTCCCGACCCTCCCTCTCAGCTGAATTAATATGGGAGATCGTTTGACCTTTTAATTTATGAGAATTATTTTTATCTTATTTATGTATGTAACTCACTGCTTTAATACATCATAGTTGCATTGAATGAGCTTGGGCCAGAGGTGGTAACGTTTTCTAAAATATTGTCTCCATTCTCCAAACATAAGTGGCGCAGGTATTCACGCGATCAAAGGCGCTCTGAGGTTCTGAAGATGTGTATATATATATGGAAACCCTGGTGGCAGAGTGGTTAACAGCTACAACTGCTAACCAAAAGGTCAGCAGTTCGAATCTACCAGGCGCTCCTTGGAAACCCTGTGGGACAGTTCT